ACCATTAATGACAGTGGTAAAACTGCGACCTGCAACCTACAGCTCAAACATACAAGCAAACATTACAAAATACAGTAATGGTTTTTCACACTGAACTTGAAGCTGTTTCCAGAGACCAAACTTGCAGAGCAGACTTGACTCCGACCTCCTGAAGTGCCCTGAGCAATTACCCCCAGCCAAGCACTCAGAGCAGAAGTGATTCAGTTTAAGGCCCAGGATGAGCTGTCTCTCCTCTGCCCACAGCCTCTCACAGATTCATGCTAGAACAAGATTTTTATGGCTATTCTTCTCTTTCCAGTTCAACCTCTGTGCTCTAGAAGGGATTTAGAACACAACTGAATTCACGTGGCCCAGCCTTACAAAATGCTGCTCAGTCTGTGCTTCCCCAGACACTGCAATTTTTCTCCCACTGCTTGAGAAATCTACCATTAAATAGCACTTTCAGGCCACAGGAGGAAACTAATGTCAAACAGTTCCCTGGACTGTCCTTGTTTATATAAACAGGATTTCACTGTCAGGAGCCTGAGCAAGGGCAGCCCAGCCACAGCCTGCTCAGATTTGTTCACTTGAAGGTTCTTCCCTCACCATGCCCATTTCTCCATCTCCCCGGACAAGTCATTACCTATACACTCAAATTTTCAAAGATGTTCTTTTGCACAAGGGGAAGTTGCTTGACTCTCACCACTCTGGAAGAGCTTGCCTTGGAATCAGTGAGTTTTAAAGACAGTTATCCTCTCTTCAAGGAACACCAAGCTTTGCAGTGTACTGGGGAAAGGGGTGGGAGCAAGGACACGTGCAGAGCACGAGGATGCTGGCAGCTATCTGGCCAACTGACCCCTCCTCCTGGAGGTTAGCACATGCAGTGTCTGCCAAGAGTAGTCACGTTCAACTTCCCTCTTCAGTATCGTGGTTTAAAAACTGCAGGTTCCATTGCACAACCCCCTCAAGGGGCAGGTGTGTGGAGAAAGCTTCTCAGCCCAGGGCACCTCGTTCGGGAGGACAGGACCGGCCTCGGGAAGTGGGAAACTGGCAAGTCCTTAGGGAGGACAGAGCAACCACGAAGTGACAACCAGTGCTGCGATCCCACCCGTCCCTGGCAGGACGAGGGGCCAGTCTGCAGGGAAAGCAGGTGGTGCACAGCCAACACCTCAGGCCTCTGAGCCCTCGGCCCTGGGCTTGGCTTTGTGCGCACAAACGCCCCTTGGCCCCCGCAGGGAGCCAAGATGCCGAGTGCAGGTCAGTGCTGAGAGTGCGGTGTGGCTCCCCACTGCC